GTTGTTTTTTATTTAATTAGGAAGTTGTTGGGCYTTAGGCCCATTAGTTTATGTTTTTTTAAGTTGTGACTGTTCAGCTATATCAGTAGCCGCCCTACTAAGGGCATCCTTGTAATATCTCATCCTTTAATTTAAGTATAAATATAATGAGAGGTAGGCGGCTAGGGTTAATTTTACAATCTTGGTTGACTTCCTACTCTTTTCTTCTTCTCCTTTCTTCTCTACTGCTGAAATCTTCATCTTCCCCCTCTTTCCTTTCACAAGAAACTCGACTAAATCTGCAATTAGTGATTTCTACTGGTATTTCTGTCAACAGTTCTATTGGTCCAATTTTACTACTTTAAATATTGTTTTACCCTCTTGTTGTTTCTGTTATCATATCTGATTCAATTATAAATAGCAATTTGCAATTTAAATATAAATAATAATTACGAGAATTATTTTAAATAGTAATTATGTACTATTAGCTGTGTCATCCTTTTTTTAAGATTTTCAAAAAGTTCTAAGCAAATTTTATGCCTGGAAAAAAAAGTTTTAGAGATTTCTTCCTAAAAGTCAAGAAAAAATCAGCAATTACAGTTTGTACTTGACTACTGATTTTCTGTCCAAATCTAGCAAAGAGCTTAGGACTTCTTATACTTCCTATAAATTTCTAAATTCAGCAATTCAAGTTTTTCGGATTCTGCAAAAAAGTGAGTGAGTGCTCCCTGTTTTTCCCTTGTACTTTGGTGCCAGTTAGGAATTATCCCCTTGAATCTTTTGGTGATTGAGGATCATTTATTAAAGCTATTTGGCCTTGATGGACCCTTCTGATAGTGGTTTCAGACAGTTTTGAGCCTTGTCTTGTTTCCAGTGGTACCTAGAAGAATTCGAATGTCTAGTTGCATTAGGCTTTGACATCAACTCCTTTATTGATCTTTCAACGTTGATAATTGCCCATTGCCCATTGGACATTAACATGTGATGAATTTAAAGGTGTTACTACTAATGATCTCTTGAGTGGTTAACAGGGGCAGCTCATCAGCCTAGAGCTGGAAAGCTCTTGAGGAGGGATAATAAAATTAATTTTGACGGCTGTAGTCTTGGAAACCCGAGAGCATTAGCATTTGGTGGTAACATTCTTTTCAGATTTTCAGACCCAGCTCATTATAGCAACTCCTTAAAGGCTAAAATTATGGCACAAATAGAAGATTTGAAGTTGGCAATATTACATGGATGGACAGAACTTATCGTCAAAGGGGACTGCCAAGTTCTTTTACATTGGGTGAGAGTGTGAGAGAAGAAGAGACATATCATGGAGGTACAGAACTTTAGTTAAGCAAGTGCAGATATTAGGACATAATCTGAAATAGCTCATTCCAGAGGAGGGGGTCCCTGGGTCTGCAAATGCCTTGGCAGATACTCTAGCTAAGTAGGAGTGAAACAAAGAATATTTTGTTTGGGGAATGCCAGGCCCAGGGTTTATTTTGTAACATCCTTATATGAGTTTTAAGTGATTTTTTTTTTTGTAAGTATATGAGTTTTAACAGAAATTGTAATACATACATACATACATAAATATATATATATATATCTAAAACTTTCACATAATAGTAAGCGTAAAACTATCTTTTAATCATATGTCAATATAATATAAATATTTAACAGATTCTCTAGAAAATTGCCAAATCCAACTTATCTAAGACTCAGCCTTCCAAATGTGTCATGCATCAACCTGATCGAATTGTAAGTATGGTTGCAACTTGGGTGGGACCAACCCAACTCAAGCCCAACTGAACAAATGCATACATATTATGTGTTTTATTTATATAAAAACATATTTTTATAATTATATACGCATGTATATGTATTCAATCCATTCCACTCCTAAATTGAGCCATAAAGCCCAATAAAAGATTTTTTTTATAGTAAAAGAAAATTCATTGAAAGAAAAAAAAAACACAAATACATCCTAGACAGGTGTTAAGGATGCTTGTACAAAACAATTTCAAATATTCTTTCAAACCTTCCCAAGCCTAGCTTCAGTTGTGCCGTGTTAAGCTTGGGTTGGATCTATGTTCATAAACTCAGGCTTGACCTTAGGTTGGGCCCAAGCCTGAGGTTTCAACCTTAGGTTGGACCTAGGTTGACCCTCAACCCAAACCAACAAGCCCAGCTTCAGTTGTGCTGTGTTAAGCTTGGGTTGCATCTATGTTCATAAACTCAGGCTTGACCAAGCCTGAGGTTTCAACCTTAGGTTGGACCTAGGTTGACCCTCAACCCAAACCAACAAGCCCAGCTTCAGTTGTGCTGTGTTAAGCATGGGTTGGGTCTATGTTCATAAACTCGGGCTTGACCTTAGGTTGGACCCAAGCCTGAGGTTTCAACCTTAGGTTGGACCCAAGCCTGAGGTTTCAACCTTAGGTTGGACCTAGGTTGACCCTCAACCCAAACCAATCGGCCCAAGTTGCACCCCTACCTGTAGAGCCCAGATATGGTCCCAACAACCGGTCCCAATAGCCATTGCAGTTGTACATCAGGAACATCTCATCATGAAGGACAAAGGAGATGTTCCTAATGGACAGCTGCAATAGCTGTTGGGACTAGATCTGAACTCCTACCTGTAAGGCCAGGTCAGGTTTCAGAACATTATTGATGAATCAAGGGAAACATGGTCCTATATTGATTTTAGAGTGGATATTAACTTATTATAAATTTTAATGATGACCTTGCAAGTTAGAACAACACATAGAGAAGATACTGTTCCTATATTCATGAAGAATAAAATAATATAAAAAAATTTTTCCACATTAGTTTCTAATGTTATCCCAGGAAGTAGCCAATGCTTGCAGCTTGGTGCAGTGGTAAAAATATCAATCTTAGGCAGACAAGTCTGAGAACGTGAACTTCAGTCTGAGAGCAGACACTTTTGTGTGCTGAACATGCCAAAGGCTAGGTCCATATCCAGTCCACCCCTCCCAAGAACCTGGATAGTTGGGAACAACTTGGGAAATGGCCTTTTTATGAACATTATCCAATTAACTTTAGCTATTTAATGGCATTTGACAAAGGGTGGGCCTTGGCGCAACAGTTGGGTTGCTCCATTGTGACCTGGGTGACCAGGATTCAAATCTTGGAAACAGCCTCTTTGTATGTGCAGGGGTAAGGCTGCGTACATCTGTCCCTCCCCATACCCCACATTGGTGGGATCCTCGTGCACTGGGCTGCCCCTTTTAGTAATGACATTTGAATGATATTTTGTAATTCAATGTAATTTGCTATGAAGTATAAATGATGATGAAGGATACACAGAATTGTGACCGATTTTTTTTTTTTTTTTGTAAAATTTGGTTCACACTGATCAACTACATTATAACATTGTTAAAGTCGAAAGGAAATTTATGAATTCCACCCAAAAAAAAAAAGAAAAAGAAAAAATCCAAGGTCTTGAGCTTTTATCCAGCATTAGTTTCTTTCATCACTGACATTGAAATGAAACCCCTAAGTTCTAAAAGTTGTCAAACTGCTACAAATTAGATCACTTTTGAAAACCAAACCTGAATTTTTCTGGTGAGAACCATCACAAGAGATTGAATATGCAAAAGAATAAATGAATGCAAGAATAATGCACACTGTAACTAGCTGGAAATTAAAACAACCACTTTCTCATGCGTGCAATGGTTGGGATTGGGATTATCAATCAGAATTAAAAAAAAAAAAGATATGCATATTAATAACTTTTATCAATAACTGGAAATCTGATTAATGATGTAAATGCAAAGCCCTGCTAAAGCAATTAGCAGGGATGTAAAATGAGCACAAAACAGCCAAGGCAGACAAAATATGACCAATTATGATTGGAACCCACTTGAATGAGCTGTTCAATAGAGATGATGAAATTTTCAAGATAATGCAAATTTTAAAACTACTTGGAATAGAAATGAAATTGTGAACATACCTAGCATCACGAAACCCAGTTAGTGCTAGGTAAAGGGTGCGTGGAATAGGTGTTGCAGAAAGTGTGAGAACATCAACTGAAGTTTTGAATGAAGCAATCTTCTCCTTCTGCTTGACACCAAATCTCTGTGAAATTCAAAAAAAAAAAAAAATACATCAGTGGTTAAGAGGTAATAAGTAATGCTTACTTAACAATACTGAACTGTAACAGGGAAAAAACTGAAACTTGAAAGCTTGAATGCACAACCAGTGGAGATCATTCACATGTAAACATATAAATGCATAATCATCAAACCAGATAGTCATTCAACCTTAATCACCCAATGGAAGACCAGAACAAGAAAAGATTTATGAACTCAATTCCTAAGAAATATGAGTAAGAAGAGATTTACGAAAGAAATTATAATGTAGTAAGAATTATCTCTTTATATAACTTAACATACTTGGTAAGTGATAATGCAAGCTCCACCAAGTATTCATAACATACAAAACAAAGGATGAGCAGAATGAAACTAACCTGTTCCTCGTCAACAACAAGAAGGCCAAGATTATTATAAACAACCCGGCTTCCAAGAAGTGCATGAGTTCCAACAACGATGTCAAGATGGCCATCTTTAATCATTGAAAGATGCTCCTCTTTCTCTGACTTGGTCTGCATAAAACCACTTTAGTCCCATAGAAGAATATTTAAGAAATAACTCAGATATCCACAGTGAAAAAATTAAGATAAATTCAGTTGCATCACCATAATCAACAGCCAGCCCAACATATAATTCCTATAAATTTAGGCTGAAGCAATCAACATACTTCCTACAAGTTTTCTTTTGTAAGTATAAATATTAAACTGTTAATTTCATTAACAAGATTTAGGCTTTAACGTAGGGCCACAAGGAATTTAAATATAGAAACACGGTGGGGCCAATCATATCAACCCTAGCAAGCCTGACAGGGCAATATGTTAAATATATTGTTAGATATTTAGTACAAAGGACAGGCCATCACCCAATGTTGGGTCCCAGCTATCGGGGGTCTTGGGAAGGGTGGACTGGATACAGAACTAACCTATGCCATTCCTTTTTTTCCCACACGGTAGCTGATCTTAGACTTGAACCAATGTTCTCACACTTGTCAGCCCAAAATTTTACCATTACACCTAATAATGGCCCCTGTATAGTGCAAACATAATGAAATATACTATTGTCAAAATTGGTAGAGGAAGAAGTAAAGAAAATGGGTGTAGATGTTTGGATTACCAATGGCACATGTGGAACTGGGAGATCTTCAAGGCTATAAGCAATTATTGTGAAGCTTGATATTTCTAAGGAAGCGATAATGTTCAACAGCAAATGGATAAGAACAATGGTAGTGTGGTAGGGATGATCCCAAAAATAGCAAACAAAGTGATAGGCAAAGTTATGTATGTGTTCACGTATCACCAGCAAGGTTCAAAATTTCAATACAATATGCCCCGTATCTTTTGCTTACTGATACGCCTATTTTAAGGCATTTTTAAGAAACTCTTGTTTAATAATTAAAGAACATAAAAATAGCCCCCTGTGAAAATTGAAAAAAAAAATAAAAAGATGCAAGGTTCAAAGTATCAATACACCCCTTCGGGTGTATCGGGGTGTATTGATATTTTGAACCTTGATCGCCAGAGACTCTTCCAGCTCTGATCTTTTTTTTTTTTTTTTTTTTGTACCGGGTGAGTTCTTTGCCCAGATAGGTAAGCATGACAGAATAATATGAATAGCAGGCTGAGAAGGTTGTTTCTCAGTTTAATCATTCTTTACAGCATTAATAGGCTCATTAGATTCTTCATTCTCTTGGCATTGTCTTTGAGGAAGCTAATGTGTGATTCATAGATTCATTACCAGCTAGGCTTCGGCCCAAGAGGGCATATCATATTGAATTTCATTCCTTCTCAATCTGCTGAAACCTGTGAAAGGAACAGAACAGATGCACCCTTAATAGAAAAGTATGCCCAACCTTGATGGTAATTGGGAGAATTGAGCGGCAGCTGGGTTTCCATCCTAAATGAGTTCCATGCTCTCACATTTAAACACTTCCCTAATCAGTGGGATTACATCATTTATGATTCTAACATTGATACATAAAGCTTCTTTTCTACATAATATCCATGGTTTTTAACTCATTGACTGTGTAAAGGCTTGTAGATTASTCTTTTAGATTGTTTTTGCAAATATTTATGCAATCCATCATACTTTAATTATCAAAAATATGTAGCAAATGTTCCTCCTATAGGAGAGTTGCAAGTGTAAAAGGTGTCCTTGTGATGGAAATCATGTAAGCTTTTAGAAGGAGCAGAACAAGAAACAACGACAACCATGATCTGCAAGAATCAAACCATCATATCAAGTTTAAACCAGTTTTTCCCTTACAATATCACCAGTACATGAAGGCTTAATAACAGCTATTTAGCTATTGTAAATATAATATAGATATTGACACTGAATAGAACAGAATGGCAAAACAGGATTTATGTAGCTCACCCCATATAGTTGGGACAAGGATGATCTAATAAAGCTATTCTTCAGTGGATGTTAAAGATTCAGTGCTGAGTTCAGTATTATTATAATTTTGATAAGTCTGGGTTAAGTATTATAATTAACCATTGAGAAGTGGAAAATACAAAAATTCCATGTGAAATACAGACATTTTAAATTTTACCAAGTCAACTGAAAATCACTTTTTTATAGAAAGCAATAGTAGAAAAAGAATTGTATGACCCAGCATGGAATTTGATTAAAGCTACAGAAAACAGTACCAGGATCATATGAAGATAAACTTCAGCAAGTATAACAACCCAAGAAGAGCAAAAGAAGACTTGAAGCAGTCTAGCCAACAGCTCACAGTTTATGAATTACTAAATCTAGACCAGCTTCAAAGTAATTTACTGGAAACTGGGCATGTACTGATCTAGAAAAAAGTTCAACCACATATGAAATAGAGTTGTTCTCCTCAGTCCCCACAATCAAATGCAACCATATCTAAATAAGCAGTTACATGATACTGATCCTAGAACACCAAATCAAAAAAATGAAACAACTGATTCAAGAGAAGCAACTTCATACCTGAAACCTGCTCAGAAGCCCAACCTTGATATTAGGATACTTAGAAAAACGCTCAGATATCACATCAAAGTGTTGTTTGGCTAGAACAATTGTTGGTGCCAGAACCATTGCTTGCTTCCCAGCTGAGACAACACAAAAGATTGCACGTAAGGCAACTTCAGTTTTCCCAAATCCAACATCTCCACAAATCAATCTGTCCATTGGGGTTTCCCTCTCAGTTAAATCTTTTTCTACATCAATGAAAGCCTGAAAATTATGATGCATACTGTCAGAGGTACAAAAAGCTTTTCGAAAATGAGTAGAATAACATTGAAAGAAAATAAACCTTAGCCAATTAATAGTAAAAATTATGGCATATATAACTCTATACTGGTCAGTAAACAATAATGTTGAGGGCAAGCAAAATATCTTACAAAAAGCAATATTTATCAAATATAACATAAAGAGAATAGAAAAACGATCTACCTTAATTTACGGATTGTAATGATGCATTCAAAAAAAGTATAAAGTGGAAAAACTACTACCTGTTGTTGGTCAGGTGTTGGCTCATAAGCAAATTCAGCAGTAAATTCATTCATGGCAGAACACTTTGGGTATGGAGGCCTTCTTTGTTTTAGTCTATGTAAATACAACTCCATTAAATCAACAACCATTTTCTGAATGGCAATCTTCCCTTTTATCCTTCTCCTCTCCCATGCACTTGTGTCGCTTAATTTGCTTAATGTCCGAGGCTTTTTTGTTTCATTTGGACTGGAAAGAATAGTGAGACATGGTTATCACTTGAGTGGGAGAAAAACCAGAGTCTTATGTGCATGTATATGTAACCATGGTCAATTAAAATAGAAGCAATGAGAAATGCCCTAGAAAGCATGTTGGACATTTTGATGTGATAGTAAGTAATGACTAATGAGTAAAATATATCAATAAATGTACAAAAAAAACATACATATAATTCAATATCCAGTATAGTTTGATATAAAATTTAATGGTGCTAAAGAGCACTTTGGTAGATGTTGATCTGACAGCACTCAGAAATTTCTTTTTGGTTACCATACATTAATTGACATTTATTGCAGGTTATGGATTTTATGTACATAAAGCATCAGATACTCATCTCATGACCCACTAGAATCCATATGTATACATGAGAACCCCCATTAGTAATGAAACTACGTTTCAGATTTTATATGACTGTCCTAGTACTGAGACGTTTTCTTGTTTCACATTGAAATTGGCAAAGAAAAAAAAATCAAAACCAGCTCAGACATGGAACAAATATAGCAATTCTAAAATAGAACTAGGTAACAGCCCAGAAGAAATGAGAAAAAATATTAAAATAAGAAGAAAGGACAATCTGGGCAGATTTGATAGAGAACTAAATAGATAAGCTAATGTGCTTGGCAAGAAGGAGCAAATAGACGTTCATGCCTATTAGAGATTCAACATCCCTATTGCAATAATTATTTCTCATTTCTTTTTGATAGATAAAGGGATTTGCATTCCTACTTTGTTGTTGCTTTCGGCTTTTTATTAGCATTTTCTGTGTAACTTTAATCCAATTTCAATGAGCTTGCAACTTTTCCTAATTGTTAAAATTAGCAAAATTGTTTTTCTAAATACTGGTAGTAGAGAGTCTAGAGACTAAGGTTGGCCACAATTTTTGCCTCTTAGCAGTTAACCTACGTGAACAAGATGCATATAAATAAAACTAGCAAATCCCCCATTTCTGAAGTTCCAAAGCAGATGCAAATTGCCATCGCTGACATATTAAACTTATTACCATTCTAATACACCATTAAAGTTCCAATATCAAACAACATCTAGTAACAGTCAGCCATAATTTACGAAAACAGTAAACCTCGACCAAGGCACCTCAATTACCAATAAAAAACATATTTCAACAAACAACCATGTAATCACCAAACCACAAGCGGGAAAGACAAACCTACAGATTATATCTGTAGAGCATCCTCGCCGCCTGCTTCACTGGAAGCTTCGCCATCCCGTCCGCGTACTCGATAAAGACATACTCAATGGGCTCCGTGGAATCCCTCGGGACATCGTATTTAATCCCCACAAACCTCCCAATTCCCACCTTCTTATGCACCACATAGTCACCCGAATGAAGCGTATAGGGGTCGACTTTGTAACCAAACCCCTCACCTTTCCCTTCCCTGTYCCCCTTTAGCTTCTGCATCCCCCTCTGTTGTTGTTCCTTCACCAATTGTATATACTTTTCTGCTTCTTCAGAATCCATGGTAGTTCTCGATGCCTCTCTCTTCCCATAGTCCCGACGAATTCTTTCGTTAAGAACTGATATCGCGTCGGTCTCTGAGGATTCAACCTTTGAAACGTTTGGTTTTCGTTGTGTTACCTCTGCGCATACAGCACTAGTACGTAGAAAAATCCGTTTATTGGTGTGATGAAACGGGAAACTGAGTTTAAAAGGCGGTGATACCCTTTGATATGAAGTAAGGTTGAAGAAGGGAAAGAGTGAGAGGTCGCGTTCGGAAACTGATGCCGGAAGGAGATAAGCTCTGGTGGCAGCCATTGGTGAAGCTTGGTGAGCTTAAAATGAGGTAAATACAAAAGAAATTGACAACGTGCGAGGAGATTCTGCCATCGAGAACTAGATTTGGAGCTTCGGGCCTCAGACACGGTGTTCGTGCAATTCAGATAGGAAATATGTCGCGGGAAAGACAGATATTCAGAAGGCAAGGGAATGCTCGCACAACGCGCGTTCGATGCACGTGCAGATGCAGAGCGCCCAATTAATCGGAGTCGCCACGATCGCGACAGATGCAGAGCGCGTTTGGGAGCAGCTTTGATTGAGCTGCATTGGTTAAGCCGCATTGAAGAGGCTACTGAAATTAGCTTTTTGTGTTTTCATGTAACTCGTGTGATCATGTCATCAAACATAGCTTTAGGCTTTCTGTATGAAGCCCGCTTGTAAAGCTTAAACAGGTATGGATGGGCTTTGCCGTGGACCGTGGTGGAGTCTGGCTTTATCCTTTATGAGGTGAGCCTTGTCCGGACAGCCTACGAATAGTGTATGGTAAATACCTCGGAAAGCCCAAATTTATCATCCTTCGGCTTCAACGAAAAGAAGGGTTTTTTTTATTTTGATGTGAGACTCTTCTTATGATGAGGATTTTTTACTGGAGTGACTTCTCCAAAGCAATTCAACCTCACATTAATTCTAATATATGAAATTTGTATGATGTTTGAAATGCATGATAGATTAAAGATTAATGGCCTTCCCTATGATTTTTTATAGGGTAAATTACATGGACCCCGTAGGTTAGTAACAAAGACCTCTTATATTATAATTTGCGATAAAGACCCCTCAACTTTAGCTGTTAGACAAATACCCACTTTATCATCAAAAAAATTTCCATTCAGCTATTTTATTTTTGGATAAATTACAAAGACCCCTCTATCAGGGGTCTGTGACAAAGAACCCCTGTACTTTATTTTGCGACAAAGAGCCTCCCTGTTGTGAGACAAAGATCCCCTTTTAGTTTTGTATTGAAATCTGCCGTTTTCATTCTTATACTATTCTTGTAATAAATATTTGAATAATTGGAAAAAAAACACTGTTCATCGTCTCCAACTTCACACAGCAGCGGCGAAGAACACTGTTCATCTGCCAAAAACTCTGTTTTCCGTAATTTGAATGCCTCCATCGGAGATTCCCTGTAAAACTAGAGAACCCATGCCTCCAACAGAGATTCCTTGTAAAACCAAATACAGTTTTTGAAGCATCCTAAGTTGGCCCAGTGAAGAAGGGATCTGCCCAACCAGTGAATTGCTTTGTAATTCAAGAATTTGCAATCCAGAAATAGAACCAATCCCAGTGGGTATTGTACCGGTGAACCTGTTCTCTCCCAAACGTAGCTCTTTCAGCCGACCAAGCTTCTTCAGGTTCACAGGCAACGGCCCTTGAAAGAAATTACTAGTAAAATTAAGGTACTCAATCTTCTGCAAATTGGTGGCCAACAGTTCTGGTATCGGGCCCGAAAGGTTGTTCGATGATAAGTCGAGGTAAGTCAGGTTCCGGCAATTGAGTAGGAAAGGCGGGAAGTCCATGCTCAGTGAGTTGTAGAAAAGACTAAGATATGTAAGGTTGGGCATGCCAGAGAACTTGGATGAGTCAGGGGATTCTAAGTAGTTTGACCCGAGGTCTAGGTACCATACCTTTTGGAGATTGTTGATCTGATATGGGATTGGACCCTCGAGAGAATTGTTGAAGAGGTTGAGATAGAGGAGCTCCGACAGTCTTCCGATCCCTGAAGGGATGGAACCAACGAAATTATCGGTGCCCAGGTCCAAGTAAGTGAGCTTGGAGAAGTTGGCAATGGCCGAGGTAATTGTTCCATCGAGAGAGTTGTCGCTGAGATCAAAACTAGTGAGATTGGGTAACTATGCGAAATTGAGTTGGTCGAGTGTCCCGTTGAGACTAGAGCTGGGGAGGTTTATCTGGGTGACGCTTCCGGCTTTGTTGCAGACGATGCCGACCCAATTGCAGAAGCTTCTTATATTGGTGAGGGACCAAGAACATAGAGCATCACAGGAAGCTAAACTATTCTTCCACTTGACCTGAGCTTCGGCTTCTGTTGTTGTTGATGTAGAGGGCTTCAATGGGATGGAGAAGAGAAACAGAGGAAGGAAAAGATAAGGTCTTTGAGTCTACGACATGTCTGGTGTCTGCACATCGAGTATGCAGACAAAACTGGTGAGATTGTTGATGTAGAGGGCTCCAATGGGAGGGAGAAGAGAAACAGAAGAAGCAGAGAAAGGAAAAGATAAGGTCTTTGAGTCTGCAGACATGTATGGTGTCTGCACATCGAGTCCGCGACATGCCTCCCTGCACAGCAGTCTCCAGATTCGAGCATCTCACCACAGAGTTTGTCGGGCTTGGCGTCGACGAGGGCGAGTTCGTCGGCAAGGTCCTGTGTTAGGATGGTCTGAGCAATGGCCATGCCAACGTTGCCAGTACCGACGACGGTGATCTTTATGTGACGCTTGGTGGGAGATGGGGGCTCCGTTCGATGGATGGTTTTGAAGAAAGTCTGGGCTATGTCAAGGCCTAGATCTTGGCTTAGGAACCCAAATGGACTCTTCTCCATGGACGTCGAACAGTAAAAGTGGAACTGCTCTAGAGTCTGGTCTGGTTGGATGGATCTTCTCCACTCTCGATGGGATAAGTATTTAAAAAGGTCATCGATACCGACGACGGTGATCTTTATGCCCCTTCTTTGGCGCCGCTGTTGTTCGTATATGTGAGGTTGGGGAAGATGAACAGTGTTCGGATATTTATTACAGTATGTGGATTAAAATGGTGGATTTCAACGAAAAACTAACGAAAGGGGTCTTTGTCTCACGGTCATAGTACAGGAAGGTTTTTTGTCGCAAAACAGAGTATAGGGGGTCTTTGTTACAGACCCCATAATACAGGGGGGTCTTTATAATTTTTCCTTTATTTTTTAATCCTCAAATTACCCTTTTTTATGTATTTAAACCGCAAGAAAAACATCTCCAACCAAATCACCATGGATACCGGTAACCACCCGTTCACAAAAGAGTCTGGAGAGGATAAGACATCGGATCCAAGTAATGACTCTGCACTGATGTTGCACTGATGCCCTTGATGACATCAGAAATAATCGTGTGCTCTTTCTTCAATTTCTGCAACAGAAGAGTTAGAAGTAAATATTCCTGCTACCGATATTGGATTTCAATGACTGAATTTCTTTTATGTGACAAAGAAAAAAAAAAGAAAAAGGAAAGGCAAAGGTTGCTCGCTCCACACGCTTTGGATTTTCTATGCAGAGCAGAGAAGATCAAGTCGAAGAAGAAACTAATTCTGGTTTTATAACCGAGTTTGGATCATTAAAATCTTTTCGTGGTTTTCGTGAATTATAGCACTGAATGCTGATATTACTTTGGTGGTTTGTGGATTTTTCTAGCTGTAGCTCGTCCTGCAGAAGCAGATCAATCGGAGCTCCAAGTAACTTTACTGAAATTTTGCATTCTTATATTACGCCTCTGTGAGGTTACACAATCCTTTATTTTGCTGAAGATGGTGCTTCATTTTTTTAAATTTTCAGTTTTTTGAAGGTTTTATAAGAATTTAGATCACCTTCTGGCAGTAGATCAGTAGAAGGTTAGTGGATTTTGAGTGTTCTTTTAAGGTTCAACTAGGATTTGCATAATAGCATTAGCAAAAGGTATTGAAGCTTATTTTGGTGTTGACGACCGGTTGGAGCTTTTGAAGGAGTAGGAGTTGTYGAGGTTCAGAGGAGTTGGTAAGGCTTGCATTTTTTTCCCCTTCTTGTAAAGGGGTTTCAGATTAAGGAACTGAAGTTCTAATCCATTTATCTAATAAAGCTGTTGAGACAGTTTTTCAAATAAAGAAGGCGCGAGTACACAACTTTGGAGTTCTTGGTTTTCGTTGATTTGCTTTGTTTTTGTTCTATTTTCGAAGAGAAGGTAAATTGGAGTTGAGACAGTGCGAATGAGATCTTTGGTACTTTGATGAATTTGGGTATCATTGAATGTTTTGAACTGGTAGTGTGTTTGTTTAGAACTTATGATTGATGATCGAGGGAACAAACAACACTATGCTTTGATTCTAACACTAACATCCCCACCATTAATCCAGTTTGTTTTGAAAGCGTTATCTAGAGGCTTTAGGCTTGAAAATGACGATATCTTCCCCTTAATCTCCATAAGTGATTGACCTGGTGAGATATTGGGATTTGTTATTTGCAGATTTTAGAGCAACACTGTTGCTTGGCGAGATACTGAGAGTTGTTATTTGCAAAGGAACTCCATCACTGTTTTTTTCCTCAACAAGTTTCTCGATGATCAGCTGAAGTACCCGACTTTTTATCTAAAGATTGAGAAGTATTCAAGGCCGGCCAAAAGCCCTCGGATAAGTAATGTTTTGTCCACATTTCGATGCTTCTGAACACATCAGCTACCCGGTCTTTAGTCGGAAAGGCGCGAGAGTTACCTTGACTTGGAGGCAAGATCAAAAGTATTTATGGGTCAGTTAGGTTTTAAGAGAAAATGGCAAGAAAAAAAGAAAATAGATAAAATTTAATAAGGTATTTTGGTAATTTAACGTCTTCCGTCATTTTACTTAACGACCAAAGGGGCATTTGTCACAATATAAAAGTTTAGGGGGTCTTTGTCATAAATTAAAGTATAGGAGGGCCTTTGTCAAAAATTAAGCATTTAGGCATGTGTGCTTTCCCCTTTTTTTTCATTCTTAATATTTTTTATTATGATTTTTTACTATATGAGTTTATGAATTATGACGAATCGCTATTGTTGATCTCTCTCTTAATTTGATTTGAATTTTAGGTAAATTACAAATACGTCCTATAGGTATATAGTGTTCACTCAGTCCCCTAGAGTACAGTAAACACCGCATTGATATCACATGGACACTCGCGATTAGTCTACAGGTAACCCTCTCTTTGTGATGAATCCACGGTGCATCGCAGGCCTACGATGAACTTACGACGCGCATCGCAAGACTGCGAAAAACTTGTGGTTCATCGCACGGTCGCAATGAGCCCATTCTTAGCTCGAGCCAATGCAAACCCAAGTTGAACCTTCAATGAGGTTCACACACACTTGGCCCTGCGATAAACCCTCAATTGCTACAGAACCCCCGTTTGCTGGGAACCGCATCCAGGTGCCACCTGTGCGCGTAACAAAGAAGGGACGAACGTGACAAGGCGCCACGTAGGTCTAATGAGACGTCGTCTACCAGACAGTGACATTACTAGCACTACGTCAGTTAAACAAGATGCACAAAAGGCAGTAGCACACATGAGTTCTAAGGATCCCCGAGTGAAAGGAAAGCCGATCCTCAGATAGATCCCCATAGGGACACGTGGCAAAACCCCAATAGTGCCCTTAACAACTAACAATGGATCCAATATTCACTTTCCAAGTAGGAAACGAACACATCTAGCTCCTTCCTTTCAGAATCTCGAGATCTTCCCCATAAATAAAGACACTCCTCGTAACGAAACTCAATCACCCAATCATCGATTGACCCTATCCTTGGATTCCCTGCTTAGTCGTCTCCTTACCCTCTCCATCTCAGCCACCCGGTTGGTTCCTCATCCCCGGTCTTCCTTTGTCCTTCAAGGAAACCGTCACCCCCACCCTAACTACCAMATTACTTACACGTCCCATGTAGTATGGGGTTAAAACTACCCTCTTAACTTTTATTTGCAAAATTGAAACAAAGGCCCCATGAGCTTTCACTTTGCAACAAATACCCGGCCCCTAGAGTTTCATAAGTTTACTTTGAAAAAAAAAATCTTTTTCAGCTGTTTAGAGTTTTTTAAATCTCCAAACTATGCTTTCTAATATAATATTTTAAGTCCTCTTGATTCCTCTAATAGGTCCTTGCAGATTTCTAGCTAGATTTAATATTCAAATGAAATGGTAGAGATATCTTTCTGGTGCATAAAAATTTAAGGTTTTATTTGTTTTTTTTAATTTATTGGATAAAGGAGTTATATTTTAAGATAAAGAGAGACATTCATTTGAAGTTCAAGTGGATTGTTTTTGCTAAACTTTTTGAATTATGATGAACTCAAAGAAACTTGTTTTTCTATGTCATTGAAATTATTCTTGTTATTTTAATTGATTTTGTTTAGAGAAAATTGAGCTATTTTTGGGTCAATTAGAGTTTAAGTGAAAACTGGTGGGAAAGAAAACAAGTAAAGTTTAGATGGTCATCTTGATAATTTAATGTGTCTCATCAATTGACTTAACGGCGAAGGGGTGTTTGCTGCAAAGCGAAAGTTAGGGGATTTGTGTCACAGTAAAAGTTTGGGGGATTTGTGTCTAACTCCATAGTACAGGGGTGTTTGTTTACCCTTCATCTTTAAAACCCCAAGTTCCCAACTTTGTTTTTCTATTGTCGAGTTTTTTCTCTAGGTCAGTGGACCATACTGTCAATCCACGCATGCAATAGAACCCAAGAAAGAAGGAGAGAGATGGGAGCCGATCTTTGGGGTGTTTGCATTTAAACGAGGAGGATGATGAACAGTGTGTTTGGATTAATAGTCTAATCAAATGTCCTTTGTAAAGTCATAAACAAGTTATTGTATTGACAGTAACAATATTAATTGTTATATATATATATATATATATATATATATATATATATTTGTTATGAACTCATGATTCTATAGGCATGCTCTCATTTACCTTTTCTCTTGTTTATTCCGGCAGGCAATTTAATTCGTTAATTGGTCTTTTCTTTTTGAGTTTAATAAATTTTTAATTTGGGTAAAGAAAAGTGTATGGTTGTGTGTGATTTGTATATTGAATTTGTGAACCTTTTATCATTTTATTTTCTTTTTGCAGGCAAAGTTTCATTCAACACAAACGAGACACAAAAACTGAAAGAGCCTCACTTTTACATTAGCAATTAGAACATGGAAGGCTCTATAACTAGTTTTTCCATGCAGATCCAAGCTCTGTTAGCTAAAATATGAACTCCTTCTACGATTGGTCGTTTTACAAACAGATTACTAAACAATAAGATGGCTGTTCTGGCTTCTCCGATGATGCTTCTGTGGCTCCAGCCTGTTGCTGTTTGGTTGTGCCTCAAAAAAGTCGCCACTTGTAGATGAATCTGTGAATAACATCGCCGTTTAGATCTTCATTCATTGAGGCTGTTTCAGGCCTCTGAGGGCAGCCCAGCATTCTGCATCAGTTGGGGGAGTTTCTCTGCAAGGTTCTCCTGCTGCAAATAAACATTCATCTTGAGTGGTTAAAATAAAGATACCTGTTACATAGTGTAGATTCTTCAAACAAATACCCAACTATGGCTGAAAATGAATCAAAATGAGATCGAATAGGATATAGATAGATCCAAGTTTGCAATTGAATATTGAATAGTATTAGTAAATCAAACTAAAAATTATCAAAATGTTACATATTATTAACAAAATTAATTAAAAATGACTTTCATATTGTATTTGGGGGAAAATAAAAGGAGTTATAACAGATAAGTATAACTTTAGGGTCCTAATATCAATAAATAAAAGTGATACTTTAAAAAAAATCAAAAATTTTAACTTTTCAAAAATTAATTAAAAAATAATATCAATTAAGAGTAGAACTACTGTTCATCTTCTCCCTCTTGCGATTTATTCACCAGTGCCGCCGCCTCCGGCAAATCACCCTGTTTGTATCCTTCAATTCTCTATCTCTCTCTCTAATTTTTGGGGTCCTAGTTAGCTAGCTTCAGAGTTGGGCAGAGTGAAGATCTGAAAAGAAAATGCACGCCAAGACAGAGGTGACGAGTCTCGCCCCATCCTCTCCGACGAGATCACCTCGGAGGCCCGTCTACTACGTGCAGAGCCCATCACGAGACCCCCACGATGGCGAGAAGACAACATCTTTCCATTCGACACCGGTACTCAGCCCCATGGGCTCACCCCCCACTCACACTCCTCCGTCGGTCGCCATTCCCGTGAGTCCTCTAGCAGCCGGTTCTCCGGATCCCTCAGGGCTCACGTAAGATCACGCCCAACGACAGATCTCGAGGGGGTCCCCACCGCAAGGGACAGAAGCCATGGAAGGAATGCACCGTGATTGAAGAGGAGGGGCTTCTGGAAGATGAGACAGCCGAAAGGAGTCTACCTCGTCGCTGTTATTACATCGCTTTCGTTCTTGGCTTCATCTTACTTTTCTCTCTCTTTTCCTTAATCTTGTGGGGGTCTAGTCGACCTCAGAAGCCTACAATCACCATGAAGGTATAATTGAATTTTTGTTTGTTAGTCAAAAACCCATCTCTCCCTTTTCTCTTCTCTGAAACGAATTTTTAATTTGCAGAGCATTACTTTTGAGCAAATCGTGCTTCAATCAGGTACAGATGCTACCGGAGTGGCGACCGACATGGTCTCCCTCAATTCCACTGTAAAGCTAGTTTTTCGTAACACTGCTACGTTTTTCGGAGTACATGTAACATCAACACCTGTTGATCTCTCCTACTCTCAACTAAGTGTGGCCAGTGGCACCGTAAGCAACAAAACCCATCACATGTTACGTTTCTCTGAGAAAATAAAGATGATTCAATCAAATTCCTTCTCTGTGGTGGTTTTAACCTTTTATTTCCTTCCCTCCTTGGGATGGCATTGCAGATAAAGTTCTATCAGTCGAGGAAGAGCCAAAGAACGATGACGGTAGTAGTGATGGGGAATAAAATCCCTCTGTAAGGAAGTGGGGAGGGTTTGAGCAGTTCGACAGGCACCTTAACGGTGCCGGTGCCTCTGAAACTGAGTTTCATGGTTCAATCGAGGGCATACATCCTGGGAAAACTGGTCAAACCAAAAGACAATCGAGTGCTCCGTGGTTCTTGATCCTAAGAAGCTCAACGTCCCCATTTCTCTGAAGAATTCGTGCTAAGTAAAATCTTATTCATGGCCGGAGGCGGTGGCGAACGGCAGCACACACTGGTGAATAGATTGAAGAGGGAGAAGATGAACAGTAATTCTATCCTTAATTGATATTATTTTTAAAAAGTTAACTTTTTTTGAAAACTTGGCCCCTAAAGTTTTCTTTATCTGTTATAACCCCAAAATAAAATCAATCTTAATTTCCTCCAATCCAAGGATAAATTAATTTGGAGGCTTAACTATAATAAAAAATTCTCAATTAAGTTGGCCTATAAATTGAAATGTAGCTTGTGCCTTCATGAAGATGTGAGCTCAAAGTGGATTTCGACTGTTCGGAATGTAAAATGTTCCCAAAACTAAAAGTTTTTCTTTATCTCTTCTAAATAAAAGACTCCCAACAAAAATGCTCTTTCAAAATAGAGGGATTAATGTGGATGGAAAATGCAATTTTTTGTGAAAAAAACAAGGACGTGAAGCATATTTTTAAAAATTGTATAGTAGCCAAACAAATTTGAGGTGCAATCAAGCCCGTTTTAGAGGGACCTACTGGCTTAAACTCTTCTCTTGAGGAGTGGTGGCTGAATACAGGCAAGAAGAATTTGAATGAAAAAAAAAAAACAATGAGAGCAAAAAGTTTGCAATCTTATTATTGAGTATTTGGAAAAATAGAAATAAAAAAATTTTTTAATGATATGTCAAACCCCTATTCAAGTGGTAATTGATAGAACTCTCTCATCCTACTCAAAATTCTTTAAAACCAGTATGAAGCTTGTTGGGGTTGATTCCCAAAAGTTGTGGAAGTACGTAGTGTAGAAATCACTAGAATTTGATAAACTTGGATGCATCCCAATTAAACAATGGGATGTGCTCGGTTCAGCCATAGCAAGAAATTTTATAAGAGAGGTGATAGATTACAAGGCCTACCACTTAGGCTCTTCAACCATTAACTTGGCAGAAGCATGGGCCATTTGGGAGGCCCATAATTTGGAATTTACGAAACATTGTAGAGGAGTGTCTGGAATAGAGGAACCGCACTAATGAAGAGTTCATCTACAATCATGTGTATTGGGAAGCCAATCAAGTTGCAGACTAGCTCACCGATCAAGTTTTTTCTTCTCAATAGGGTATAATTTGTAGAGGAATGTCTGGAATAGAAGAACCGTGCTAATGAAGAATTCATCTACAATCATGTGTATCGGGAAGCCAATCAAATTGCAGAGTGGCTCACCAATCAAGATTTTTCTTCTCAACAGGGTACAATTTTTGTTTCAACCTTTATGATCTTTGCAATTTAGCTTTTATTTGTTTTTCTGATTTATTGGGACATACTACCCCGTCTTGTGGAGAGAGAGAGAGAGATTCAGTTCAAACTAAAAAATGCACGCAAGGTGACCATTGCCGTTTAGAATTGAAATGTCAAATAGACATTTTTCGGATAAAAACAACAATTTGTATTATTCAACCCAAAACAGGTAAAAACAACAATCTGTATTATTCAACCCAAAACGTTTCTGATTCACGTTATATTATACACCAATTTCTGTTGATCAATCTCAAATGTTTCATGAAGAAACGACAATGATAACAAAAACAAGTAAACAACCCTAATTTTCAGTTGAGATCAATAAGTAATACTGATAGTGATAGAGCTCCACCATTATTCAAAGCTTTGGCAGTTCCAAACCCTCAAATTCTCAATAATTAAGAATAAAGAAAAAGCCTTCCACCATCATTCAAAACTTTGGCATTTCCTCATCATCAAGATCCAGATGAAACCCGAGATCTAATTCCTGCAGAAGTAGCTAGCTCTTATGTCAAGCAAAATCAAACACATCAAAACACAAATTTCCCGCCTTTTTAACTAAAGGCAGTCTTAGTGTACAACACATTTCCCCCTTAACCAACCACAGAAAAAGCTTCTCAACAAAACCAACTCTTTGCTTCCTTTGCTACAGGGGAAATAGGAACAGAAATCTTTTCATGGCAGCTCCAAATATCCCTGGTTCAAGTTTTCAGCTTATACACCAAGTTCCACCATCTATATTAGTGATTCTTTTCTGCCAGCGTTAGTGACAATGGAACAACTCCATCCCCACTTTTATCCCCTCAAGTTTGGGATCTAGATTCTCATCTCAATGGCTCCCACAAATATTCTCTCTATTTGTTGAGCCATCTACAATTCCAAATTCTGTAGCAGATGCATGTTTATCAGATGTAACCGCCCAGTTACCTTCTGATCCCAGCAGTTTGTGTGTCATGGTTGGATTCCAGACCTCTCTAATCCAGAAACACTCTCAGTTTGACTATACAGCCAGTACATGTATAACAGGTGTCTCCAAGTCACCTTTTTTATCCCGGTTTGTATGCCTTGCCTGAGTTAGGCACCTCTCTGATCCAGAAACACTCTCAATTTGACCCTGTAAATCTTCAAACTCGTTTCCCACAACAGGTTGTCTTTTACCACCCGTCTCAATGTCAAAGCTTGTTTGGGGCATCTCTGGGCTCATTGGATGGTCTAATGATAATGAACTGGTGAGAGCAGCAGATGAGTCCTCCTTTACCCTTGCTCTAAAGTTGTTTTTAGAACTTGGAATCTTAGAGAAGAAGATTTCCCCAATATTGCGAGCCCATCCAAGGTTATAAGGATTCTTCTTTCCCTCACTCCGATATCGGAAATTCTCATACGTTGTCTGCATAAACAATTTAAAGACATGAAAGTGGAAACTAACGGATTATGAATGGTGCTAAAAGAGATATGTAAATAAGGAAACCTGATTGGTGCAAATTAGGTATATATGAAATGCTGTTAGCCCTCCAACAAACCAAGCAGCTAAAAATGTGTATAATACGAGCATCCCTGAAACTGGAGATTTCAGAAGAGCTTCCCAGAGATTACACTGGCTTGCATCCATTATTTTCCTGATATTCACCAAACAGAATGCAAAAACATATAGGCACAGCATAGTGGTAGAAGACACGAACATGAAGAAGAATCTGTAATTCCTCTGCATACATACAAGAGCCAATATTATCAGCAAGACCTATTTTTCAGAGAACGGAGGCATCCAACAAAAGTAACAGCTGGCAGCACAAGAAAATAAAATCAACTTTTGAACTGAGTTGAAATTTCAAAGATGATTGATAGTATGAACATATGTCAGAATCAGTCCCACTATGGTTACCTAAAAAACTGATTACCAATCAATGGCTATTCATCCAAGTGGTAATCAACCAACAGATATACATCTATATTCACATGGATTTGGGATTGGTTAAAGTTTTTCAGGTACCMTACTTTTCCATCACCATAGAAATTGCCTAACCATAGACATGCTTTAAATGACAGAATAAATCAAATATGACTTGCAAGTTGCTACAAGGTGATCTTCTAGACTCTGAACAAGGATATACTGGGCTCCATAACCAAAAAGATTGACAAACAAAACAATGCATTGCAAAAAAAAAAGAGTTTCCTGTTTCTACAACCATCAATTAAACATATCTATCCAGAGGAATCATGGGATAGTAGCATTAGATTACACTTCTCATAACACCTGTTATTTACAGTACTGTGCACATGGTTATTGGACAAGCACATCTGATTCCATTGTATAATCTATCAAGTAAAACCCCAGATTTTGCATACAACATACATTTCCAATAAACATGTTCAGCATAGATATATGCTCTCTGGTATCGTTAATAACTGCATGAAGCAGCAATAATGATGACCATGATCAGTTTGGAGGCTAAAGGCTGATTATGATCCTTTCTAAGCAACTTTTGCCAAATAAAAAAAAAAGAGAAAAAAAAACAGGTTAAAACTCAAAATTCAAGGCAATATGAAGTCAGGAACTGGATCATACCTTTCCAATACACTGCCCAACCCAGGGGCAATGGTGATCAAATCGCTCAACACAGTTATTACAGATAGAGCAATGAGAACATCGGGGTGGGCGATATATCAAGCATGTATGGCAGTATTTGACCTTGACCACTACTCCATTGACAATCACATCTTTCATGGGTGGCAAATTGCCTTGACTTCCTGGACAGCCTGAAGAGGATGCGCTTTCATTTTCTGGCTCTGGAGGGTGAGAATTACGAGGAACAATGCCTGGATCCCTTCCAGATGTAAGAAAGAGAAGAACAATAACCTGCAACAGTTACAAGTTGACAGTGTCAATTAGCAAATTTACTGGTGAACATTGTCTGAGATATAATGGATGGCTGAACAAACAGAAGAGCAGTCCCACGTTTTTATCACTTCTTCCCTTGTTTACATGCTGTCTCCTCACCTTCTTTTTCTACATAGTTCCTTGTTTTTTAGGATTAACAAGGAACCAAAGAACCTCTTTTTAGAACATACAATGTCTTTCTGTACTTGGAAACCTCAAAAATGGCAAACACAAAAAACAACTATCGAAATATTAGGCCACCCTCTGGGTAGCTTGAAGACAAATATTTACATGAAATAAATGAATCTGAAATTCTGATCAAGTGCCTCCATTTGAATTATAAAAAGAAAAATAAGTTAAAACTAAGAAAAGGATTGATAAGACAGTCTGTGCCCATGCAACTTAAAACCATAGGCATGCAATATCCAGCATGCATCTTGATAATCAGCCTTGAGCCTGACTTCATATTGCCTTGAATTTTGAGTTTTAACCTGAAGGAAAGGAAGCACAAGTGCTCTTCCATCCTTAGTTACTTAGTGTCCCTTCACAATGCCTCAATTGACATTCTAAGGATGGAAGAACACTTGTGCTTCCTTTTCTTCAGGTTGCCCTCTAGTTACTTCTGAAGTTTACTTTCAGTCCTACACAAAGACAGACAATGTCCTACTAATTTCTGTTTATTCCCTAAAAATGTCCTCCCTCAACCATAAAAGTAAATTAATAAACATCAATTTATTACAATTTAATACATGAAGTATCAAAATGTGACATATGTGTCAAAAAGAAGAAACTCACATATGCTGTGAACACCACAGATACTGCTACTATGAGATTGCCAAGATGGTGAGGAAACTCATCAACCAGACTCGGAGAAACAAAAACAGCAAATAGAATCACTGGAGTTACAATTAGAAATATCGTAAATACCATTGACATCACATCTGGACCAAAAATAAGTCTGCCACCAAGAAAGAATCTCTGCAAAATGTTTAAAAAAGGTAAATCAGTTCCTGTTGACATAAAAGAGGATAGTGTCTTAAGAGATGGATATACAAAACTAATGAGTAAAATAATGCATGGAATTCATTAAATAATGAAACCATATATGCCAAAAATGGTTAAGAAACTGAGAATGGCACTGTGAGATAAAGCCTCCTTTAGTCATGTATTGGTGCTGCAGAAGATTGTGGAGGAGATGATAGTTTAACAATATAAACACTTTATATATATTTGGATTGGTCTATAAATTCCAAGCAAGATCGAATAGAACAATGGAGCTAGGAAACCATCCTCAGAAAAAGTCTTGATAATGACGTAAAGGCAATCTCTGTCCAATAAACTAGTCTCTTTCAAAGAAATTACTAGCTATAATGATTTAGAGTGGGTTAGGCGGAGCAGTATTATAACATAGATGTAATTGAAATTTTAAGTGATGGAATCATTAAATCAATACCATTAAAAAAAGAAGTTACCCAAATGCTCTTCCCACTAAATCATCATCTGTATAATAATTTTTCTCTATTTTTTTAAGAATTAATTGAAAAAAAGGGTAGAGAAGATCATGAGAGAATCTGCACTTAGGGGGACCAATGAGAATGAATACAACAATATTGTAAGTTCACCAATGGTGAAATTCCAAAAAGTTACAAAGTGGAGCCCGCTGTCTTTTTCCTGTTAAAGAAGATGGGTCAATATACACTGTTGCCAGTGATGAAACGGGATTCAGTCAGTGCAAGCCCCATTCGAACAGTCTTTATAGCCTTGTATTGGGAATATCTCCCTATGAAAAAAGCACTGAAGTATGGAGATGTTCCCAATGCAAGGCTGGGAAGGCTGTTTGAAAAGTGTTTGAACGGAGTTTGCACTGACTGAAGCCGATCTCGCCAGTGACGTCGTCTAAATAGTTGTCTGATAACTCTTAACCATCGTCATCCACCTAATTCCAACTGGGTTCCTCGATATGATTTTTTTTTTTTTTTCAGAAGATTAGAAAACACAAAAACCCAATCTCATATTTTACTACAGAAAGAATTAGAATACAAGAACTGTCGAAAATTTTCTCCTGAAATCACTCTCCCAGCGATGATAAAGCCGAGGGAGAGAGAGAGAGAGAGAGGGAGAGAGAGAGAGAGAGATTACAGGAGTTGATAGACTCGCTTCAAATTTTCCAGTAAAATATAGAAATAGAAAAAGAAAACCATAGGAAGCTTACATTTCTTCCTTTCCAGACTTGATAGACTCGCTTTGATTGGCTGATACTACCAATAATCCGCCGATTCGAATATGAGAGTTGAGGTGGTGGAGGACTTGTAAATAACTTTCCCTCCATTTTAACAAAATCTTGGCCCCGGAAACTCCAATTTTCAGTACGTGCAGTGCATGACAACACCACTGAAAACCGCGACCTACTGGATGATAAGAGGAAAGGTCCCAATCAATATGAAACAAATTTCAAGCAGAATCCAAAGCAAAAAAGCATTTTTATTAAATTCCTTGATGATCGAGAAATCTTTCTTTCTGCCGCGAATCTAACGAAAAACTAATGTTTAGAGGGGGAACAAAAGAAACAGAAAAAGGCCAAATGCAGACAATCCAAAGAGGAGATAAAAGTCTTTCCACAATAATGTAGCAGAGTTGCCTCTAAAGACGAGATAAAGAGAAATCTACCTAAACTACTAAGCTAAACAACAAGATGTGCAGAGTAACTCGAGAGAGAATAATGGATAAAATGACTGTTCATGAAATATTCCAGCGGAGGAAAAAAGAATATTTAACAAGAATATACAATAATGCAGAAAGGGAATGCTTAGAAATAATCAGGAAAAATAGTGGAGAAGATTTTAAAATAACTTACCTTTTAAGGTGGGGAAAGAAGACAAAAACCAAGCTTTCACCGATACATGATAAGATGATCAGTAATGGAAACTGAAAGGCATAGAACCCAGAGTTTCCACAGAGAAGAACTTGGTTTCAGCTCCTAGCCCAATCTGTGAGAGGCCAGCGGAGGCGATTACAGGAGTTGCTCTGATGATTTTTCGCCAAGAATATCGGATCGCCGATTTTGACGGATGCGTGGCAACTTTAAGCAACCGGGAAGAGAGCACAGTCTTGCTGGAGGACCGAGAATTACTGCTAAACGGTCAGCAGACTCAGCACAGAGAATGAAAAACTAAAATAGATTAATTAACATAAGATAATAAAAATAAAATAAAGGAAATTGCCTAAAACACACCATGAATATCATGACTTTGCAGCATTTCTCTAAACTCACCGTAACTTTTCAGAACGTCTCACCGTAAATTTTTGGGAAATTTTTCGATGAGTATGCCAAGTGACACTTTGGTCTTCAGTAGTACAAAGCTTAAATACGTATAAAATAATACAAATATAAGATTTTGCTAAGACTGTTCGTAACAAAACCCAAATCGACCAAACCGACCAATTCGGTCCTATTCAATATGAATTTGTCGGTTTTTCTTTAGGATCGGTTGGTTTCAAGTTAAAAAAAATTATAAACTGATGGTTGGGTTTAGTTTCGGTTTTCATGTGTAAAAATCGAAACTGAACTGACATAAACAGACTTAGATATATATTATATATATATATATAATATATTTCAGATATTATATATATATATATATATATTTCAGTTTTATTTCATAAATATACATATTATATATAAAATATCAGTTTTAATCCATCAAATCATTTTTAATTTCCAGGGATTCAGCCTTTGCTTAGACTTGAATCCTTTATCGTTCACACCAAGAGAATCATTCACAAAACCAACCCAAACCGACCCAAGTTCAGACCCAACCCGACCCGTGAACAGCTCTAGATTTTACATGAAATCTTTGAAGTTATGATATGGAAAGAATCCTTTGCTTTCTTAGTATTGGGTCGGTTCCGGTTTCATTTCTAGGCAAACCGACTAGGTCGGATCGGTTGGAAAAATGCCAGTAAACCGACCCAACCCAACCCATGAATAGCCCTAGATTTTGCATTCTACCTATTTTCATTTTGTACTCCTTCCAAACTCAGCCTTAAGTGATATTTGAAAAAGAAACAAATTCTCTTTAGGTGTTATTTAATTTTATTTGGGAAAATCTATGATAAAGAAAATATATGATATGGACTTCTTTGGAAAAATCTATGATGCAGAAAAGATATGATATGGAAAGAATTTTGACCAATCAAAACCCACCTATGAATTTTGATAAATAACACCTTATTTGTTTCAACGTTTGTGATTTCAGTTTATTGGTCAGTTATTTTTCCTATATCATATTTTTTCGATACCATAGTCAAACCCTTTTTTCTTTATCAACCATCTAAATGTTGACAAAAAATTAATAGTCCCAAATTTTTGTTTTTTTCATTCAATAAAGTTGGGGTTATGTTTGAATGGGCATTCAAGAAAATTGTTTTTTTTTTCATTCAAGGATTTGGGATTATTAATTTTTTTGTCAATGTTTGGATAGTTGATTAAGAAAATTATGTCTTTTTAAAATGCCACTTAACAGCTAGTTAATGGCATGTATTAGATTGTCACATTTTGAAAGTTCAAATAATGAATTGTTGCATTTTAAAGTTCAGGGACCAAAATGACACTAGACTCAAAGTATAGATACTAATTTGAAATTTTCCCTAAATTTTTCAAAACATCTAGTAAACTCATGTCAATGACATTTTATTTTATAAAACTCACCCTCCTTTAGAATAGGTTAGTGTTTATTGACAAAGAGTTGTCCATATCAGTAAAAATATAATTTTTATGACCAAACTGCCCCTGAATGGCATCTTAGTCACATTAAACATATTTTTATGTCAGCTAAGTTTTTATTCAATACACCTTTTTCTCTAATTGACATATAGAAATGGACATTGGGTCTTACAAAGCCACCCTCCTCTTCTTGACCATAGATCTTTTCTTGATCCGGTTCTTGTGGCATTTGAAATTAAAAAGGTATATATAAAAAATAAAATGAGTTTGATTTGAACCAAAAGTGTTTTTTTTTTAATTATTTGAAGCTATCTTTTTACTTAAATATGTAAAATGGATAGAAATTTTTGTAGACAGAAATATTTGAGATATTTTTTATTGTTTTTATCAAAGATTTGTTTTATTTTTCATTTACAACAGAATAAAGGGTACAATAGTAATCTACCAACATCTATTAGTCTATTTAACTTTAATTTACTGACATGAGATTCCCTGGACAATCTTTTTGTCACATCTATTTTTTGGTAAATTACAAAAAAGGCCCATGTGCCATTATGGTTACAAATAAGTTAGATCATATCCGATTTGAATTTGATCCGGTAAGAACAGAACTTGGATACCTCTCTTGATCTAACAAATCGGATCAGATTGGGAAAAAATCTGTTTAGTTAACGGATTGAATTCAGATATACCATGATCTGATCGGCCACAACCTGATCCGATTTGTTAGTTTTGAAATATTACATATTATTTATATATTCTATATTATAAAATATTATTATATTATATAAATAATATATTATTTATATTATATAATCAAGTTTTTAATTACAATTCCAATATAATATTATTATATTATATAAATAATATATTATTCGATAGGGTAAAATACAAAAACCTTCCCTGAAGTTTCTGACAATCATAAAAACCTCTCCTATAGTTTCATTTTAGTAAAAACCTCCCCTCTATTTTTGACAAAATTAATAAATACCTCCCTTCCGTTAATGACCAAGACGGAAAACGTTAAAGAGATGATATTTTTTTTCAAAATACCTATTTTACCCTTTATCGACACTGTTCATCTTCTTCCCTGTTCCAACCCAGAAGCAGAGGCAGTGGCGGCACCCCTCTAAATCTGATATCTTCCTCTCTCATCTTCTTCGGGATGATGATTTCTTGTTCCCAAAGTACCAGTTCTGGGTGATGTTCTCAGTGCTGACAACGACGACATAATTGTTGCGGTGAACCTAGAGAATGTCCTTGGCCAAGTCGATGGCGATCACTCCCGCACTACATCCCATTCTGCCCAAATTAAAGCTCCTAATGTTACCTCTTAGCTTGTACTTGTTGATAAACATGGCGGACAACAAAGGGGTCAAATTGAACAAGCTATAGTTCACGACTAGTATACCAATGTCCTTAGGCTTCATGGAGGTATTGGAGAAGAGGTTTTATAGAGTGCCAAACATGACCTGCTTGGCTTCCTCCCTAGTGTTAGCCATCGCTGGCCATGGAGGAATGTAGTGCATCGTGTCAGGGACATGCGTCTCCTCGCTGAGTCCGGAGCGCTCGAGGATCTTGCGTTGGAACTCGAGCGAAGACTCATCGAACTCCCTAGTGAGCCTTGAGTGTTCCATGAAATCCTTGAAGTTAACCCTCAGGTCTAAGGGAGGGAGGTAACAGGAAAAGTTCACTAGATACACGGGGCATGGTGGCGTCATGAAATAGACAGTAGCACCCAATACAAGCAGTGCAGAGCAAATGGCGACACTCACCAAATTATTCTCAAGCTGATGTGATAGTTCAAGGATATCCTCCGAGCTCAACTACGACACCTGAACCAGGGTCACAGCCATCACCGGAACAAGAGAGAAAGTGACCAAATATTTCATCAAGTAATAATACCCCAGCTTCACATATTTAACGTTCACGCTTTGTAAGAAATCAGGCAATCTCCGACTGTGTCAGGCCTAAATACCACTTCCTTCACCGGCACCACCATTTTCGACGGCTTGAGCTCCCACTCCTTCCATGGCGAATTGGTGACTGAGCCTAGTGGTTCTAATAAACTCTAATAATAGATATCTCTCTCTGTAAACTGCAGAGGATGAGGGATAGAAGGAATAGAAGGGTGTATATATAAAGATATTGGCGCCTTAATTAATTTATTAGAACAAAAAATATAAAATAAAACGAGAGGTCAGAGGTTAGAGGGGTGTTGCCGCTGCCTCTACTTCTAGGTTCGAATGGGGAAGAAGATGAATAGTATTTGAAAAAGGGTACAATAGGTATTTTGAAAAAAAATATCATCTCTTTAACGTTTTCAATCTTGATCATTGATGGAAGGGAGATATTTGTTAATTTTGTMAAAAATAGATGAAAAGTTTTTGCTAAAATGGAACTATAGGGGAGGTTTTTGTATTTTACCCTATTCGATAAGATAATTGAAATTGAATTCAGAGTCATACTCTTTGAAAATGAAGGGATTCTTATCCGATTTGAAATGATCGGATATATCCTTTACATTCGATCCATTTGCAGTTTTGCAGCCTTATGTAGGGTCGTTGACTATTACCCTACATACAATGCAAGTTCAGAGAATGACATAACGCTGCGTTTGAAAGCGATGTCAAACGTCATTGATGTAAAAGTTTATTTAGGTTCAGTTTTGTTGACATTTGGATTGAGTGCAAATTTAAATCGATGTAAAACTTGATTCTCAGTTTAGATTTATCTACGTTTAAATGGAATGGAGTTTTATATCGTAAATCGATGTAAAATCTCGTATAAAATAAAGTTTTATATCAATTATCGATATAATCATATAAATACTACATCAATAAAATCGATACAAAAACTCTATGATTTTCGAAGCTCAACGATTCATAACCTTTTACGGTTCGGTGTGAAATAAATACTTATCGCAACTCATCTATAAGTAACCTCATTTGTTTACTGTTGAGACCATTATTTCTGATTAGTTTACCACAATTATGTTACTTACGTATAGAGTCCACATAAAACCACCAAAAAGCAAAAAAAAAGTGGTTAATATCCTCCAGAACTCGAAGAGGAAAGGTGAAATCAAGAAATTGACTCAAAAAGAAGTAGGTTGTTACAGTTTTTTTTTGGGTAATTATGTGATACATATTTAAGACCCGCTTAAAGAGCTTCTCCCAACGCATCAGCTATGCATAATAAATTTAGTTCTTGCTTCCTCTTAACCAAATAATCTGCTGCCGACGTAAGGTTATGGCCCTCTTTTGTTTTGCCAAATAACGTGCTGCATAATTTCCTTCCCTAATTAAGCGTATGTTTATACTGTACTGTAAGTGCTTCTCTTTCATAAATCAAATAGCAATCCTTAATAAAATTCTTTCAGATTTCACGGCGGAGTAGCTTTCCCCTGTAGATAGACTTCCTATGATAAGTTTGGAGTGCATTTCCGATTCTTCCACTTTGTAGCTATCAGTCTATCACGTGAGCTTCTCGTGCAGCCCATGTTTGTTATAGTTTAAGTATCCAAGGATAATAACGAAGCTCTCACATCTAAACCCATCTGAACAGAGAATGCTAGCTACCAGAACCGGGCCAGTC